TGGTGATAGGTGGATGGTTGGACTGGATGATCTTATAGGTCTTTTCCAACCTTAGTGATTCTGTGATTCATGTGTAAGCAATCTTTTTCCCTTTTCTTATAGCACCTTTATATCATGCCAGTCCTTACATCATTACACCTCTGGTGAAATACCCTTTTGTGTCATATTGATCTGTCCAATTGCTATGCTTCACAACACGCTTTTTGAGTTTCCTGCTCTGTGTGTGTGTGGAGTAACTAACTACTGCGAGTAGTTTTATCATACTATTAAGTGGCATTAAAAATTAAGTAGTAATTGCTAGGTAGCAGCTATGTAGTGACTTTTTTCTGCTGTGGCTGCACTGCAGTGTAATAATACACCAGGTCATGCTCAGCCATGCGCCTTCAGGTGTGCGCTGTGCTCATGCAGCATTAGCCCCTTCGCACAGGGAGCTTTGCTCAGAGCTCAGCTCTGACTGGTAGCAACAGAGAGTCTTCCTCTGTTCTGAGTCAGACCCAGGCATTACCTCCCATGGCAAATAAGGAGGACAGAGGTACAAATGAGGTGAACGAGATGAGGTTCAGAAGGGCTGGGTGCTGCACTTTGGCCACAATAACCCCGTGCAGCGCTATGGGCTTGAGGCTGAATGGCTGGATGACTGTGAAGAGGAAGGGACCTGGGGGTGTTGGTTGATGCTCGGCTGAACGCGAGCCAGCAGTGTGCCCCTGTGGCCAAGAGGGCCAGCAGCATCCTGGCCTGCATTAGAAAGTGTGGCCAGCAGGAGCAGGGAGGTGATCATCCCCTGTACTCAGCACTGGTGAGGCCGCGCCTCGAGTGCTGTGTTCAGTTTTGAGCCCCTCACTACAAAAAAGACATTGAGGCCCTGGAGCATGTCCAGAGAAGGGTAACAAAGCTGGTGAGGGGTCTGGAGCACAGACCTTATGAGGGAGCTGGGATTGTTCAGTCTGCAGAAGAGGAGGCTCAGAGGAGGCCTCATTGCTCTCTATAACTACCTGAAGGGAGGTTGTGGTGAGGAGGGGTTTGGCCTCTCCTCCCAGGCAACCAACAGGACCTGAGGAAATGGCCGCAAGTTGTACCAGAGGAGGTTTAGGTTAGACTTAAGGAAGAACTTTTTCTCTCAGTGGTCAGATGCTGCAATGGCTGCTCAGGGAGGTGGTGGAGTTGCCATCCCTGCAGTGTTCAAGAGGCGCCTGGATGAGGAGCTGTGAGATAGGTTTAGTGCTTGTGGTAGCAGTGGTGATGGGAGGACGGTTGGACTGGATGATCTTGCAGGTCCTTTCCAACCTTGTGGTTCTATGGTTCTGCTGTCCCCAGCCTGCTTGGACCCAGCTGTCCTGTTGCAGGAGGGGCCCTGGCAGCGCTGGGCCCTGCGCCGCTCCCCCAGCTCCTCTGTGCCATCCATGCTCAGCTTCTCAGCAGGCGACACAGAGCGGGTGCTGCCAGACCTCTCACAGAAGAACCGTTGAGCACCTTGGGCACCACAACAGAGGCAGGACATGAAACCGTTAGAGATGGGCAGCAAAGATGGCTACAGATCAAGAGGTGTGAGGAGCAACTGAGGTCCCTTGGTTTGTTTGGCTCAGAGGAGGCTGAGGTGGGGCCTCGTGGTGGCCCTACAGCTCCTCCCTCTCAAGGAGAGGGGGAGCACGGCTCTGAGCTCTGCTGACTTCAGCAGGACTCAAGGGAGCTGGCATTAGGGGAGGGCTGTGCCCCAGAGGGCGGCGGGCGCGGCGCTGAGCTGCCAGAGCTCAGCCTGTGCTCAGCTGTAGGGCCTGGGGGCGGGTGCTGCTGCGTGGCACGGGGGCTGGCACCTGGGCCTCATGGGTTCCCTCCGCCCCGGGATGTTGTACGATTGTATCTTTGTGCATCCAGTAATAAGAGTAACACATAGCTTTTAAAAATATTGTTCTGTTGTAGATGCACATTCAGTGTTTATGTGATCTAGTATCCGATCCTTAACCTCTGGCAAATGTGGACTTAGAACTCTGAAACACCCATTATTCATTATTATGTACTGTTTGTTCTTTTATCGCACTTGAAAACTAGTAAAGGGTAATGAAGTGGAACAAATTTGCTCATAGTTTTGAAGGTATTTGTTATATGAAAGATGTACCTAGTACTCAGGTATGTTTTTGTGCTTTAACCTCCAAGGAATGCTATTAAAGCCTCTCACTGCTATTGCAATTTTGTCATTTCAAAAACTGGCATGCAGTTTTTTTTATTGTTACGCCTGCTGTGATTTCAGACTCTCAGAGATTTGAATATACACCAGAATCTGTCCTACATACATCTCGATTCAGATTCCAGGAATTGCGAGGCTTCACTATTTTCTGTTGTTGCTGTAGTGCAGCAAAGTATTTCTCCAGTGTTTTCTTTGCAGGATCCCATGTTCAGGGCTCCCTGTTACTCATCCTTAATGCATGTGATGGGGTGGCTGGTGTCTATGTTTTCTGAAACTATTCGTTTTATGCTAGCAATTTCTTAGTTATATTAGCTATGTAAGAAGAGATCCTAACTACTGTATGATTGTAAAGGAATAATGTCACATGTTGATACTTTTTTCTTAAACATTATTTGAAATAAGTATTTGGTAGATGTGTTGCTTTGAAACAGAATTGCATGTGTTTGGTTTGCTTTACAACATTAAATAGTTACAATTGTTTTCTAATTGTGGTAATTTCAGAGAGCTATCCAAATAGATAAGATCTGTAGTTGGAAGCCAGAACTGATTTGGAGCAATAAAGCACATAGAGCGTTGGGACTTTGTATTGTTTAGGGACCACAAATGAGCTCTGTCATAGAGCCCAGCTTCACAAGTTGAGTTGGGTTAATATCTGTCTCCAAGATGATAAAGAAAATCAACCAACAACCAAACTTCATGAAGACACTTGATTACTGTTTGGCTGTTGGACTATGTGGCCATGGGTTGCTGGCAGGTGCTCCCTAATGCATTTTGCTCATGCATTTTGATGTCCTGCTTTCTGATGCATATGACAATGTGTAGTTTTCTGCAGGGTGCTGTACTTTTTATAAAGATCGTAAATTGGACATGTAACTTTGTGAGATAATTGGCACAGCAGGAGTGTCCATCTTTGCAGAGAGCACACAGGCTGAAACGAGCCCCATGACCGTGCCTTCTGCTGCGATGCAGCTTGCTGCCTGCCCTGAGGGTGGCGCTGGTTGTGTCGGTGCTGTGCTACCCATGAGAGGAAGGGGGGCACGCTCCATGTGCTGCACGGGCACAGCCCTGCTCTGGGTTGGCGCTGCCTCTCTCCTGCCCATCGCCTCCCCGGAGTGCTGTCCTTTGGCTATGGGCAGGTTTGCTTGCAGTGTTGGTTCCTGCAGCTCTGGTGTTGCTGGTTGAGTTTAGCTGAAAAGCAAGACAGTCTTTAGGTTTCTGGAAATCAAAACTTGTAGCATTGGCAGCCGTACCAAGACAGAGCATGTTCACGGGCACTTCAGAACAATGTGTGCTGTTCAGCGTGGGGTTTGGTGCTGGGCAAAGTTCTGGAGCCTTCTCTTCTCATTATTGATAAACCCGTAAAAGCAGCTATTATTAAAGTAAGCTTTCATAGTTATATCAAATGCATAAAGGAAAAGTACATGCATGTATCAAGTTGGGCAGAACTTCATTGGCTCTGGTATTTTTAGCTGTTTTGTCTATTGTCTGCTTTTTTTTTTTCAGTTAACTTTTTTGCAGTGTCCCACTCCAGTTGGACCTCAATCCTTATGGCAGGCTATTTTTAAAGCAAGATTACTGCATATCCTAGTTAGGTCATTAATTCCAGTTGGTGTCCAAGTGAATCACAGAACCATTAAGGTTGGAAAAGGCCTCTAAGATCCCCAAGTCCCACCCTAGCCCATCTACACCATGCCCAATGACCGTGTCCTTCAGTTCCACATCTGCGCACTTCTTGCACCAGCACACACCCAATTGCTTCCTGCTGTTATCTTCTTCAAAACTGATTATTTTGTAGCCAGTATCCATTACTTCTCAGGATAATAAAATGTTAAATATAAGTGGTAGAGACTCAGTGCCAACACAGGTGTTTTAGACATGGCTTTTGCAGTGCTGGATATAGTTTATGCTGAGAAAATGCTTAAAGACAAAGTAACAGCGTAAAGCAGCAGTGGATGTATGAATGCTGCATACTTGACTTGATGTGCAATGGAGAAACATACTTTGTACTTCTTTTAATCTGATTGTATCACAGTGCTGGCTATTTAATCCTTAAGATGTTTTCATTACATAAGATTAACATTTAAAATAGCACGATGGGTGTTTGTTTGTGTCTCCTGGGTTAGATAAGTGTGTATACACTACGGTGCACATATAATGATGTTTAAATAATTTTGGAGATGAGATGTTCCATAAGTCGAAATATCAAATGAGATATCTAGTCAGCATTTTATCCTGAGGTAGTTTGAGATGCTTTAGCATAAGTGAGAAAAATAAAATCAGTTCAGGTGTTGGAATTCTTCCAAATCCCAGCAAGGAGACACTCTGAGCCTGCTAATGCTGTTAAGTCCTTTTCAAGGTGAGCTGGAAGGGGTTATGCATTTGCTTCAAGTGCTTGGTAACAAATTCCCAGTTCAAGAACAAAATTACTGTCTTAAAACACTTGAGATTATTAGTTTGTATTATGAAACTTCTACATGCACTAACAAGTGATGCCCATCTTACTGCTGTTCTGTCAGTTACTTCTCTGGCTGATGGTTCTACTTTCAGAAATGCGGTGTCTGCGTTTACATCATTTGTTATGTATATCCTGTATGTTAGTAGATCTGGATACAACTTTTTACTTATTTGGTTTTTTGTTTGTTTCAGGTTGTTCATGCACACAAGCCCCACTTCATGGCTTTACACTGTCAGGAATTTGGAGGAAAAAACTATGAAGCTTCCATGTCTCATGTGGACAAATTTGTTAAGTAAGTAACTAAAAAGTACTGCTAGGGTGTTGTTCTAGGCACAAAGTCAAAAGGCTGCTTTCAGTATGCAGATAATAGAGTTCAAGGAAGTTGAGGCTGTGGGGCCTTTGGCATTAATTGCCCAATTATATCTAATGTTCAGATGTTCAAAGCCATAAGTCCTTCGTAACTGTACCCAGTAGGCACTAAGAAGCACTGAGAGTGATGTTGAAAGTGATGCTGATGTTATCAGCTCCAAAGCTTGTGGGTAGATGGCTCTATTACAGGAAAACTTCTTCCCTGAAACTTGCCCCAAAATGAGGTAGAAGCCAATGGTTCCTCTAGGAACCCTGTAGGCAGGGACACCTCCCATAGCTCAGGTTGCTCACAGCCCCATCCAGCCTGGCCTCGAATGCTTCCAGGGAGGAGGCATCCACAGCCTCTCTGGGCAGTGTGTTCCAGTGTCTCACCACCTCACAGTGAAGCGTTTCTTCTAACATCTGGTCTAAATCTACCCTCTTCCAGTTTAAAGCCACTTCCCCTTGTCCTGTCCCTACCTGCCCTTACCAGAAGTCCCTCCCCAGCTTTCCTGTAGGCCCTTCAGCTACTGGAAGGCCACTGGAAGGTCTCCCTGCTGCCTTCTCTTCTCCAGACTGCAGAGCCCCAGCTCTCTCAGCCTGGCCTTGCAGGGAGGTGCTCCAGCCCTCTGATCATCTTTGTGGCTCTCCTGGTTAATGATGACATTTCAGTGCAGAGAATGATGCTGAATTTACATGGAATGTTTGCACGTCCCCTCATTTTCAATCTCTTCTTTGTCTTTTAGAGAGTTATTATCAAGTGATGCAATGAAAGACTACAACAGGGCTCGAGTTTACCTGGATGAGAACTATAAATCACAGGAACATTTTACGGTAAATTTCTTTATTAAATAATTTAAGTTCAACAGATGATTAATTTCTGTTAAACTGTTCAGGTTCTTATTGTTGGTGTGTGTATGTGAGCTGTTTCTAACGTGATGAGGATTACATTTTTACGAAGTTGTTCTGTGCTAAGACATTAGTTTGTAAAATACACAACTGCTGGTTTCACAGAAGTGCATCCACTGAAAAGTAAGTCAAATACTATGATTCACAAAGCCTTTCATTTAAAGTGATTCTTTTTTTCTCTAACAATCTTCTTGTTGAATGAGAATTACCTCCTATTAAGAAGCTGTTTGACCATCTGACAGCCTGGAGTGGTGTCAGGTCTGACCAGCTGGGAGTGGGGCTGCCAGCGGTCAAAATTTCTGTTAGGAATCCTTAGTGCTTGTTGGCAGACTGTCTTGGGTGGGGGTTTGTGAGAAGAATTGTAGCATGAGTTTCCACTGGTACATGAATGATGTTTACATCGCTCCTTTTATGAAGAGCAGACAATCGTAAGGTCATTGCCAGGACTGTCCAGCATGTGGGTAGACCTACTGTTCTAGGTAATTACTGCTAGATTGTACAGTCCTTTAGTGGTTTAGTAGTCCTTTAGTCCTTTATCTTCATTCTGTCCAGGACAGCAGCTTCCTTTTCCCAGAACGTTTTCAGCCAACATTTGCAGGGACTCAGCTTCCACATCCAGAGCCAGAGCAAGTGACAAAAGAGTAGGGGACAAAAGCAGCAGCATGGGCACAGAGCTCAGTCGAGCCAGTGTCCCCCACATGCACACAAATCCCAGTACGGCAGCATGTGGCTTAGGTGAATAGGAGCCTGGGAAGTTTTGTATTTATTCATTTTTGAGTGACTGTGGCTGAGAGCCCAGAGAAGCTGAAACTAGAGGAGAAATGTTGGAGATTTTTTTCTCTTCTTTATCAGAGAGGAAGAAAACCAGCGCTACTGGCTTTACTGAATCTTAGAGGGACAGATGTTGTGTCAGGGGCATTAAGACTTTGTACACAAAGCCCTGGTGGGTGCAGAGCAGTAGGACAGAATTGTGCTGTGGTTGCTCAGGGCTCAGAGCTGCGGCCAGCAAAGCCCTGTGAAACTGCATCACTCCTAGCAGGGGTTGCACCCCGTGGCCCTCTGGGCTTCCTCCCAACTTCAGCTGTCCTGGGGTTGTGAGGAAGGGGATGATCATCAGTATCCTGAACTAGGGAAACACTGTACAGAAGATTATTGCGCCCTGTAATGAAGCATCTATAGCTTTTTCTTAAAAGATGGTCATGGTTTCATGGTATTGAAGTTACTGTACATCACTTGATGTATGCTTATTTTTTATGTCTCTATGGATGTTTCTTAAAGTGTGGAAAAAAATCCTGGGCAGCGCATGTGCTGCTGGTGTCTATCAAGAGCTCTGTATTTCACAAAGCTCTGAATTTAAGAAATAATGCTGTTTCTTTTCTCACTGGCAGCTTTTTCTGGGCACTGTGCTTCTTTGTAGGATTTCCCATCCGCTTTCGTAACTCCCCCTTTGCTGTCACAAGCATTACCTTGCATGTCTTTTTTCCTCTCGTGCTGTATTGACTGCAGCTAGTCCTTACTGAATTTTTGACAGTTTTTTTCCAGTCAATAAGGGAGGGGAAAAAAAAGACTGTACCGATATTATTTATAATGAAAATAGACTAACCAAGCAAACTTGTTATTTGATGAAATCTCTATCTGTTGAACTGATAACTAAATCTGTTAAAGATACAAAACGGATCTTGTAAAACAATGCATGCTGTTTGTTGATAATGCTGCATCTGTCAGTACAGCAGTGCTGAAGGAAATGGTTCAGACAATCTCAAATGAAGATCACAGGGGGAAGAGTGTTTCTCATAGGAGCCCTCAGATCTTTTCAGATTGAGGATCATCTCTGTTATTAACATGGTAGTAAATGTAGAACCACAGCTGACAATCTACAAATAACTGAAGTATTGGGAAGTAATGAACAACTGCATGGTGGTATGATGCCTGCAGCAGGGAGTGGGACTCCCTGCCTGTAAGGGAGCAGTTCTGGAAGGCAGCTGGGCAAGCTCTTGTGTGCTGTAGCTCCAGAAGGAAAGCAGTTCTTGCAAGTGTAACTAGTAGGAGTGGAGTATAATTTACTTGGTGATTTTTGCCTCTTTACAGGCATAGTGAAGCAGTATGGGTGTTTTGAATCCTAGTTCTTAAGCAGAAATTTTTAAAAGCATATTGAAAAGATAAAGGTGATCCCCTAGAAAGATATTTCTGGCTTATTTTTTTCTAAATCATTCTTTATAATCTTTAAAAAAAACCTTTTAGAATTGAATCAGTTCAGTGTGGAAGAAGGAAGAAAAGGGATGAGAGATGATTTGTTTGTATTGTATAATAATACTTCATGATAGAGCAGTATTTTATACTTTCCTTACTGGTTTTCCAGTAGCGATGGCTTGGAGTCAAATCCAGGAAACCTATAAAAGCAGGGACAGGGATGCACCTTCATGCTCACCCTCATAACCCTTAGACTTCAAATAGTGTTCTTGCTGGCACTTTATGTTCACAATTTCATATGTAGATCAGAACATATGATCTGTCATAAATCAAATTCATAGAAATGTTTTTCACACACTGAACCACAGTGTGTAAACTGTCTGTACAATATTTGTGTGTGGAACGTATGGTCTGGATGACTCTATGAATGGGGATTTTACCATTGTGTTGTGTCCATTTAGGGTAAAGTTTCAGTTCTATCTCCAGTGTGGCTTGGCTCACTGTGTTTTGCATCTCCCTGCTTCCTCATTAGTTCTGTTTGATTGCAAAGGTCCTTAACTTCTGTGGGCTTTTTTTCCATCCCTTCTATGGCATGGAATTGGCAGCATATGCTAGCTTTATAATTATATTATTACCTCTCTCTCTGAAATATAAACACTCATTGCATACATTGTTGTATGATGCTGTTTTCTTTAGAAGGGGAGAAGCCCAAGTTGCTGCAGTTTGGCTAACCTTTGCCCCATGGCTCTAGTATTCCCTTTTTCTAGCAGTTTTGGCAGTGTTTCTTTTGTGAGGCTTTCCTTGGCTTGGCTCCTGCCAAGCTCCATCTGGTTTTGCTGCTCACAGTTACATAGCTTAGCTGCACTGGGACTGACGGTGAGAAAATGTTTTTCCATGTCTGTCCCTTTGACAAACAGCCTCTGTTGCAGCTGAGGGGAAGCAGGGTATGTGTTTTACAGGAGTTCTGTGAAGTAAAAAATAGACTGTGATATCCAAGTGTCTCTTGCAGAGTGATTTGACTTTAAAGACTAATAACTTTCTGTGTAGTAGGGATCCAAACGGTTCATTCCAGATGCAGGCAGGCATTTGTCATCTGTGGTCCTGTACACTGAGTCCAGTGTAAAACAGGCTGGGGGTGGGGGGTTGTCATGATGGGGAGAGCATGGCTGCTTGGTTGGGTTGGGTTTCCCCTGGTGATGGATTAGAGCTGCTGGGAATTTCTTCTTCTCAGAAGTTGCTTAGTGCACACCAAAACACAAAAAGCACCCAGGGACGTGCAGGGGTGATGCTGGCAGCAGGGCTGGCTGCCCTGCACCTGAGCTTTGGGGCCGTGCCGAGCAAACCTGGCTGTAGGGAGCGGGCAGCACGTGTGTGCAAACCAGTCTGTCACACCGTGCTTCAGCGGTGTGTGGTTTTATAAAATTGTAATGTGACCTGAAGATTGATCTCCTGGCAGAAAGCTGCTGCATTAGAGCTAATGCATCTCGGCTCTGGGAACGTGACAGAGGCAGAGCTAAGAGCTCCCAACAGTTATGAATGAGATATGGGTGACAGCTTCTGCGCGGGTAAGGATCGTTTCCCAGAAGCTCCCAATTAACCATGTAGGCAGCTCCGGTGGCATTCCTGCTGTGATTGAAGTCTGAACACAAACCAGCATGGACAAAACTGCCTCATATACCAGCCAGAGACACTCAGGTACCCAAACAACTTGACAGTGCAATTTACAGCTTTTTGTAAACCTTTCACTTAAAGCCCTGGTACTTTTTAGTCTGATTTAAAAAAAAAAAAAAGACGCTTTCTCTTGGGCTCTGTAAATTTGTACATGCCTATTTACACATAATGCCTAGAATATGGCTATGAATATTTTTGTGGCTGTTTTTACTTGGCTCCATGTACTAAACATTTTTTTAGTATAAAATAACTCCTAACTTCAGCTAAAATGAAGCATTGGGTGTCCTCAGGTAGCATCTAAAGAGGGAGCTCTGCTGAAATCCTCCACCGTAATAATAACCTGATCTAGTGCAACTCGGCTCTACTGGCAAGCAGTGGTTCCAAAAATTAAGGCAGGCAACATTTTATTAAAATGCATAATTTTATCTTAAAAATTATATCACCTCATTACTAAGAGAATAGTAAAGTTAATTTTTGTTAGATTAATGATAGTTGAGTAATATTTTTGGTTGAGCTGAGTTCGAATAATTGGCCATTAATTGAAAAAGGAAATTGAATTGAATTTATCTGGTACATAAATCCTGTCATAGTTATTAATGGGTCTTAGAAAATATCGGCCTGTTCCCAGAAATGAATAGGGTACGCTGATTCTTCTGAGCTTATTAGCTGTGGCAGTTTAGAGTTTTAAATAAAAAAAGATGATTTAGGAAGAGAGACATAATTGAATCGAATATAGGGGGAATTCACATGCCTCATTAGTTCTCAGACCGTTTTTCCATTAACAATTTTTGAGGAACTTTGTGTTTGCAAAAATGCAGATTTTCTCCAGGAGGTGGTGCTGAAGGTCCGGTTTGCTTTGTTAACCCATGTCTTGCTGTTGAAGGAGTTGCGGGCAGGCTGAGTTCTTAAGAGGCTGCATTTGAAGTACAGCGCTTTGCCTTGAGAGCATGTTGTGAACACACTGAGCACTGCGTCCCTCTCTGCAGAGGCTGTCGAGAAGAGTGCAGCTTTTAGGGCTATGGGGAGAGCAGGGAGTCCTGGCATTGCTGTGATGCTGTGTGGCA